TTTATAGTCACAGGTAAAATTGACATAAATTTTAGTTAACTTAAATTTACAACTTGAATTCTAATTCCAATGACCTATTAAAGATAATTAAGTTTTTATCAGAACGTTACAAGTATGTGCAGTGCAGTACTAGTTTTAATGTCTCTGTAACTTGGCCGCGCGCCAAAACATACGCTTTGATACGTACAAAACGGGGACACAAGGGAGAATAATGTGCGCGTCACCGCGGCAGACATAATAATTTATCTAAAAAATCGCCCATGTTAAGAAAAAAAATAAGTAGTATTTCTTCCGGTGGAGAGGCGAGTTCGAATCTTGTAAATAATAGAAATAAATTATGTACAATTAGGAACGAAGTATATATAGACGTAGGCTTTATATAAATTCTATAGACTTTACTCATATTTGCACCTTTGTTATTGTAAAAAAAATCAGTCTAATTGAAAACTTTTTTTTAAGTCGTTCTAAAAATGAAATTCCAAGGAATAATTTTTATTACAAGCATCAACGCGACAGTCATAAAAGTTCTTAACGAACTAATATCCTTTTAAGAGGCAGTTTTAAAGATGGTAAAATTTTATTGCTCGTAGTGCTTTAGTTCTTGATAGTCTCATGTAAAATATAAATGGATACGTTAAATTTACAAGAAAACGCTAAAAGTAACATAAAAGTCACTTAACAGTTACAGTTAAATAATCTGTAACCTGGCAGCTTTGTATTGAAAGAAAGCAGTTAACAAATACTTTGTAATACAAAGCTTAACGGTAAATCAACGTAAAAAGAATACTTCTTGACTCTTCTACTGATCTCTACTTTTTACTTTAAACCGCTAAAATATATTTCTCATATGAAGTAAACAAATTCTTACTATATATTATATTATAAAGTTACTCAATCACGCAAATATGGCTAAAGGGATTGGGATAAATTTTTTGTACACAAATATTCTATATAATATCTATCATAAGAACTATCCAAGCAAATGACTTTTGTACAATATCGCTGTCTAATAAACAAAGTGTATGCGGAGACATATTTGTCTCGGTTACAGGAAAATATAATATATGCCAAAACATATTTATATTCATCATATGGCTATTGGGCCACAGAGTGTTATAAATATGAAATTTTGTATGCTTAAAAAGCTGAAATGGTTTGAATGAAATTTGGCACTCAAATAGATTACAATGAAATCATCATATGGAGGTCACACACGCCATTGAATAAATATATGGATATCCGCATTGTGGATTAGCAAGGCTAACCTCGAGCTAGTCTGGATTTTATTACTGCTTCAACGGCTGGGTTGTTCCAACTATTGAACTGAGCAGACAGCCTAAAGTGAAAAAGCAGATTTTTTTTATTATATAAGTAACTGAATAAACTTCTGTAAAACAATGCTATTTTTGATCGTAAATATACATAGGAATCTAATTTAATCTTCAGATTAAATAAATAAAAATAATCCACATTTTTTTATTTATTTAAGGTCTAATTGTGAAATGCATAATTTTGTATGTTGGCACGAAAAAGTAAATCCTACCAATGGCAAAAATAATTATCAAAATCGGTTCACATCATTGAAGACATAATGATATGACGATAAACGATTTATATTATTGAAGACATTTGATAAAACTGTTGACGGATCAGAAAGTTACTTAAAAAGTTGTCATTTGTTGAAGAACAAATCTCTTACAGCCTAGAAAGAAAAAAATAAACGAGTACGGAAGATCTAAACAACATGAACCATCTGCAGTAAAGTTGGAATAGAAGACTTATTTATATATATTTTTTTTTTCTTTGTCTATTACCCTTAATTAATATGTATAGGGGTAATTATTTCTTTTTATTTCTATATAATAAATAAAAAATCACAACCAAGATGGCAAACATTAATAGATTTCATCATTATCATCATATCAGCTGTAAGTTGCCCCTGCGGAATATAGTCCTTCTCCTATTAGGAGTTTTTCTAGTAGTTAATTAGACTTTGGTAATATTTTAGGAGAGTCGCTGCTGCCCATCCCTCGATGATTAGTCGCCTCTTACGACATCCACGCAAAAGGGATGCGTCATTCGATGCCGGGACTACGCGGCAAAATATATTTAACCTCATATAAAAATGGAAAATATTCAACTTCCCTATCATTAAAGTCTGCTAATGATTTATATTTCACCCTATATACCTACTACCTAATAAAAAATCACGTTCTAAAATTTTATGGCAACACTAACATAATTATACTTGCATAAATCGAACGCAAACTACCCAATCTTTTCCACTATAATGGCAAAACTTTTGCCGTCAGCTGAGTAGTTAAAAAGGAAACTTTAATCGATACGTTCCTTTTGGTATTTTATTTCCGTGTGTAGCACACGCTTTGTACTGCAGTACCTATAATTTAGTACGAGAATGTCCAAGTTGCCTGTTTTTTTCTATTACCTTGTAATTTTATTGTTGCATTCGATTCATTGTGTTGCCATGTAGTCTCGGTATAGAATAAGCCACCTCTTCCTTTCCCATGGGTGTCGTTAGAGGCGACTAAGGGAATTTAATGTGCGAGGGATTGGCAATGGCGTTTCTCTTAAAACATCATCAAAACCTTACTGCGGTTGCCAACGCATCTGCCAAGCGTGACAACTGTGCCAAACATGGCAACAAAATCCCCCAAGAAAGAGGCCTATTCTATATTCAAGCAGTAGAGATTTAATGATGTGATAACGATGATTTGATTTATCATAAAATACATAAAAAAATTAGCCATGAAAAGACAAAAATCTTTTTAAACTTTACAATAAAGTTAATATGTATTCCCAGATGTTGCAGCGAATTTAAGAAAATACATCAAAAAGGGTTATTACGCATTACAATAACGGAAATAGTTATTGATAACAATTGATCTCTCGATAGTAAAATAAGTATAAAAAGTAAAAAAAAAAATTATAATTTTTAATGACTGTTAATTTTTTTTTTTTTTATTTATTTATGTTGCTGCATTCACACTAACAAGATTGTTAGTGTGAATAACCCTGAACTAACCCTGCTTGATGAATAAATACGTGAGTTTGAAATCAGGGCAATTGACTTACCGTGATCAATTCACCAGGAAATAACCACCATAGTTCCTAAGGAGTACCACATGGAGATCTACATAGGGCATATTGCTAGTAACGGGGTTGTTAGATCCCATTGTTAACATCCATCCCCCCCTTCATTTATCCCCATTACTTACAATCTCTTTTAGGTCTACCATGTTATTCTCCCAGCCGACCGTACGTTTTCAAGGCGCTTACTTCCACGTACAACCACGCTTTGGAATCAACTTCCAGCAGTAATATTTTCAAACCGATACCACATTGTAACCATCGAGAAAAGAGCGTATTCCTTTTTAAAAGGCTAGTAGCACATCTCCGGTGTTGTGGATGCTAGTGGGCAGTGGTAGTCATTAACCATCAGGTGAGCCGTATGCTCGTTTGCTTCTTGTGTTATAAAAAAAGCGCCAGTCATACATAATTCTTTATGAATTATTTACAACAGGTCCTGATTAAATCCTCACTAATCCTCAGGCAACGTAATCCAATACCGCAGACGGGGTTAACATCATATAATATTTTAACCCGTCCCACCTGATGGAAAGTGGTAACCGTCGCCTATAGACATGAGCAGTACCATGGACATAACAGAGCATACTGTTTCGCCCATGATACCCCCCATGCGTTGCCATTCCTTAGGACTCAGGTGTTATTCCTCTGTACCCAGTCAATTCACGCCATATCCCACCCTTCAAACCGAAACACAGCCATGCAAACACAACTGCTTCACGGTTGAAACACGAATTGGAATTGCGTAATTTTATTAAAACAAAAGGACAAGATAAATGGTAATACCGAATAGAAAATTATATCGAAGTGTATACATCAAAATATCTCCAGCCATTATCAATACAAATAATTTACCAAAAGATTAACGTAAAAGATAGAATAAAACCTGTAGTAAAATCCCTTCAGGCTATAACTTTCTAACATAATCCTTGGTCCCCTTTGCCCTTACCAATCTGTGGTTTTAAATTCCTCGTTAAGTTAAAGCTGCTTGGGTATTCTGGGCTTATGGGATTCTTGTTCGTAGGCTTTAGATCAACCACAAAATACGAGGCTTAAAGTATGGATAGTACAGTATAATGACAGATATTAGTCGGTCAATAATTTATAGTATACTAATTTTTACCCGCGACATCGTCCGCATTATCGAGTTGTTTTACAAGAGGGAGACTTTGTACATAAGTCGATTGCTTGGGTACCTCTGTCCCATTCGTGTTTCAACCGTGAAGCAATTGTGTTTGCGTGGTTGTGTTTCGGTTTGAAGGGTGGGATATGGCGTGAAGTTACACGGTACAGAGGAATATTACCTGAGTCCTCAGGAATGGCAACGCATGGGGGGTATCATGGGCGAAACAGTATACTCTGTTATGTCCATGGTTACTGCTCATGTCTATAGGCGACGGTTACCACTTTCCATCAGGTGGACCGTCAGCTTGTTTGTCATTCTAACTTGTATAAAAAAAAAATATATTTATTGACTGACAGAGATAAAAACCTATGTCCTTCTCTATTCTAAATACTAAGTGTTTTATTATAGATACTTTTTTTATGTAACGTGAGAAGAAAGGTATCCAGTGCACCAAATTTGATGCAGTTTTCATAGTTATATTCCATAAAATCAAATTTTCAAAATGATGTGTTTTATCATGATATGACATTTAGAAATGGTTTAATTGGTTTTCTTACTTCTGAAATCGAACGTACGAAGTAGCGAGCAAAAAGCTAGGACATCCTTAGAGAAACAAGACCTTTATTATCATACAAGAATTGTTATGCACTATTATTACTTTAAAGGCCATAAAACTTTATTTATGTGGATTATAAAATAAAAAATTATATTATACAAAACGATAAAACGAAATATGACCTGCCTGTCAGAGACAAATCCCTCTTACACTATGCTGTTAGACTAAGAAACATAATACATAATGCTAAAAACTATCATGAATTTAAAAATGCATTTCGTGGATATAAATTTAAAATAAACAATGCAGCAGCTAAAGCGTTTCTTGCTTACGAAAATACTAAGTTTTGTTACATAAATTGCATGAAATATTTGCTAAGGCGTTTTAGTCACTTTAGTAGGTAATTTACATCAAACCACGGTATACAATGCGCAAAGCTGTTTAAAAAAAGAGAAAAACGATTAGAACTTTGACTCAACGGGTTCCTGGTACAAAAATAAATACTATAAAATCTTTTGTATGCTATATATCAGATACTTTTAAATAAATCTATAATTTTGTCCCTCTGCTTGTATGTCGTTTTGTTATTCCGTTCTTTTTTCTTTTGTCATATTTGCTTATTTTATATAACGCCATCTAGTCCTACATTAGGGTATTACAATGTTATTACAGCTTACATTAGACTATCCAAATGACTGGGAAATCTGGGAATGTCCCTGAATTATCTTGCTAATTAATATAGTAGTATTAGAACTATTTTGTTTAATTTCAAAAATATAACACCCAATTCAGTAAAATGTTATTCGTCTTTGAACACAGGGTTATCCCGTGTTCAGTAAGACTTTATTGTCCCAGATATCGAACATCTATTAATTTTTTTTACGTCATACTGGTAAGTTTGGTATTAAGTTATACTAAAAGCCGTTACTAGCCGGTAAACCGAGTACGTCGGAATCCGTCTTTTTTCTCTGTATACTCTGCCACTATTTATCTCGTCGCCCTAGAATCCTCTTAGAATAGTATGTCCTGGAAACGATAACCCTGTATCTAGCTACCCTCGATTATTTATTTTGCACAGTAAGTCAACTTATATATTTTATATTAGATACCCTTTCAAAAAGGATACTGATAAACAGGCAAAAGTAAGGCAAATTTACCTTAAAAAAAAATTCTCTATTGTTAGTATAAAATAGGCATTGTTCTTCAATACAATCTGTCACATTACACCTAGTTACATTTCATATAATAACTACGTACCTACGTCACTACAATAATTGCCTACTTACAAATATTTCATAGCCACGCGATTAGGTAAGTTACCATTTAAAACGCTTTCGATGAAACGTGAACTGGGTGTCTAGCATAAAATGAAATTCCAAATTTTCAGACTCAATTTCAATCAATACCGATGAGTGCCGGAATAGACTTGTGTCTGAAATCGAAACTTCACTCCATCAAGTTTCGATCTGGGGTGAACAAAATCTTGTCCAATTTAACCCCAAAAAGACACAAGTCTGCGCGTTTACCGCAAAAAAGACGCCGTTTGTCGTATCTCCTCACTTTCAGGGCACTTCCCTTGATAAAAAGTCAAGTCTAGGAATTCTGGGCGTTGATATATCTTGCGACGTCCAGTTTTGCGGTCATCTGGAGGAGAAGGCTAAGATAGCTTCCAAAAAGTTAGGAGTGCTCAATAGGGTGAGACGATATTTCATGCCAGAACACCGCCTGAAATTATATAAAGCCCAAGTCAGGCCGCATATGGAATACTGTTCTCACCTGTGGGCAGGAGCGCCACAGTACCAACTCCTTCCGTTAGACCGCATTCAAAGTCGGGCGGCTCGAATTATCGATAGTCAACGCCTTACTGTCCGACTTGACCCATTGAAACTGCGCAGAGATGTTGCGTCTCTGTGCATCTTCTACCGAATTTATCATGGGGAGTGTTCTGAGGAATTGTTCGGATTGATACCTGCTGCTGATTTTCACCACCGTACAACCCGCCACAAACTAAAGTTTCATCCCAATCATCTGGACGAGTGGCGGTCTTCCACCGTGCGTTTTTCAAGGCACTTTCTTCCACGCACAACCATTCTTTGGAATCAACTTCCAGCAGCAGTATTTCCGAACCGATACGACAACATAACCTTCAAGAAAAGAGTATATTCCTTTTTAAAAGGCCGGCAGCACACCTGCAATGCCGCTGGTGTTGTGGGTGATCATGGGCGGCGGTAGTCACTTACCATCAGGTGAGCCGCATGCTCGTTTGCCCCCTGTGTTGTAAAAAAAAAAAAAAAAAAAAAATTTCGTGTTGCCGTTCATATCTAAATCGGCTCAATAAATGGAACTTAACATTTCGTTCATAAAAAATCGTACTTTAAAAGCCCAAACGTTATTTTAACATTAGTAATGAGGAGGTCCTACTTAGGGTTAAGAAAGAGAGACAAATTATAAGAAATGTTGACGTCAGAAGGGAAAAAATGTTATAACACTTGATACGGCACGACGAACTTATGAACATTATAATAGAAGACAAGATAGAAGAAAGGAGGGGAAGAGGGAGACTAAGACATAGTTAGGAAAAAGTTGATATTTTATCGTATCAAGCGGTAAAGAGACTTGTAGAAAATGGTGGTGAGTGGCAAGAGCTCCATCGACAAGAGCGCAACTCTTAAATAGGATAGATAGATAGATGGTTATTTTTAATACGAAGTCTATATGCAGCCTAAATGGTCGCGTACAGCGCATTTTCAGAGATGTTTCCTCCAACGAACACTCAGATTATGAAATGAGCTGCCTGCCGAGGTTTTCTCAAGAGACTACAGCATGGGGTTCTTCAAAAGGGGGGTAAAGAGGTTTCTTCAGGGTCGGCAACGCGCGCGTAATACCTCTGGTATTGTAGGTATTCATAGGCTACGGTAACCACTTACTATCAGGTGGGCCGTAAACTTGTTTGCCACCTCAGTGGTATAAAAAAAATGTACAACGGGAATTTACTACACAGGATAGAGTCACTCATCTCCGAGAATACCATTGTCTTGTCACCGCTATCTGCGTCCCCAATCCCGCCCGCACTGACGTCTTTATAGCCTCTGCGAGCGTCCCGCAATACGAGACAAGACGCTGTGACGCAAAGCGCCGTACCCCTCCTGAAGAAGACTTCCGGATGAAGTCGAGACAATTGTCGGAAACGACAGACACAGTAAGATCGTTAAAATCCCGTTATAAATTTTTTTTATAGATACAACTTAGAATGGCAAACAAGCTGACCGTCCACCTGATGGAAAGTGGTAACCGTTGCCTATAGACACGAGCATGTTATTCCTCTGTACCCTGTAAATTCACTCCATATCTCACCCTTCAAACCGAAACACAGCTATGCAAACACAACTGCTTCACGGTAGAAACGCGAATGGGACAGAGGTACCCAAGCAATCGACTTTTGTACAAAGTCTCCCTCTGGTAAATATGTATATAGATATAGTATCATGATGTATAAGTACTATATGAGTACTTATACTAATAATTTTAAAGATAAGTAAATTGATATGGCAATGGACTGGCCATATATCCAAAAAAACTTACACCTAATATAAAAAAAAAACGTTCTCCGGTATAGAACGACCCCCAAAAAATGCAGCGACGACCTCAAATTTATTCCAGGATTCCATTCCATTATGTTAATGAAAACAGCTCCAAGACCATTCCTAAATATAAAATAAAAGAAAAATATTTATATAATTAGAAAAAAGAAATACAAAAATAAATTTATATCTAATTAGAAATTACGCGACCAAATTGGTCACTCTTCAGCTAAGTGTAAATAATTTAATTAATTGAATTAAATCCTCACTACAGGGTACAGAAGCATAACATCTTAGTTCTCAGGAATCGCGTGGACCGTATCATGGGCGACACAGTATACACTGTTATTTCCGTGATACTTTTTTTTTAATGGGTGATAATGAAATAGTAACCCCACTCGCGCTATCGGTATACACCGGCGGGGCACCAGTGAAGGATGATAGAGTGAGGATGAAGCAGGTCAGTTAGCCTATCGTGACGAATTCAACAAAAATTGTTCACAATTGTTTCCAGGGGGAACCACGTGGAGGTCGACCTAATAGGGCAAATATACTAACAATAGGGCTGTCAAACTCTTTGCCAAACTTTCCCCCCGTCCATGATACTGTTCATGTCTATAGGCGACGGTTTTAACCATTCTAAGTTGCATAAAAAAATAAAATGGAATAAATGAAATTTTCCTTGTGGAGACTTACATGCAGTCATTCTTTTGAAATTAATCCACCAAGCATTCGTTTCAAAAGATAATTTGCCCTTAATGAAAGATTAAAATTAACTCAAATGAATGTTTGATTCGTGCAACGTTGAATCCATTTTTTTAGATGGATGAAGAAGGAATGATGCACCCGTTTTCACCATCTGTATAGGGAGTACCAGTGGAGAATGATATAATGAAAATAACATCTGTATTAGTAACTAATACAACTAATTGTTAATCGGTTCATTATGATGAATTCAAGAGGAGTTAACTATATACTATGTACTTTAGTACTTTGATACAGATCTCTGATATAGAGAGGAAATTATACCTTATAATTTCCTCTGTATATCTTATAATAATAGAATACAATTTCCTCTCTATATCAGAGAGAAATCTCGATTAATTAGTAATTAGTAAATCATATACTCGTATCTTGATTTACTAATAAATATGACAAACATATAAATATAAGAAACTGCATTACAAACAATGCCGTGTAGTCCCGGCATGGAATGGCCCATCTCTTCTTTACCCACGGGTGTCGTAAGAGGCGACTAAGGGGATTTAATTGTCGAGGAAAGGGCAATAGTGTTCCTCTTAAAACATCACCAAAGCAAAAGCATAACTGCAGCTTATTGCTGCAAAATTGTATATATATATATATATATATATATATATATATATATATATATATATATATGGCAAAGCATCAAGTTACTGCTGACATATCACCGACAATAAAAGACATTCGTATTTGCAAAACATGACATGTTGGTGTTTTGACAGAGTAAGTGCACAATATGTCTCCCTGTCTTTCGCCCCCACCGTGTCACAAGGGGCGGTTAGGAAAATAAAGCACAATTCACTATTACAAAAGAAAAAAAAACACGTAGTGAAATTCTATACTATATGAGTTTATTTATAAGTTGTTAATCGTATAGTATAGTATTCTTATACTTAAAATAATGTAAAATAATGAAAATATTCTTAAATCTGAGTTTACTCGAATAAAAATATTTCTTCTTTTTTTCTTTCTATAGTCACAAATATGTTACATTGCGTCATACGATGTAATTATTTTTAAAATGTAAAATATACAATGAAAATGACGAGTACCTATTAATTTTTGTATTATTTTATTTTTCCTATAATAAATTTCAAATCTTAATTACTATTATAAATGCAGAAATGAAAATATCTGTCGACGGATGTTTGTTACTTGTTCAGGTAAAAACTACCGAATGAATCAATAAAATTTGGTACACGTATAGGTTATATCCTAATTTAGTAGATACTTTAATAACTGAGTTACCTAAGCGAAGATTCAGCTAATATATTATATAAATATACATACAAAAGAATAACTGTCAATTTTTTTGTAAAGAAGAAGCCTTCAGTAAATTTAGGACAACACCATATACTGTTACTAAACAGATATTAACAAAGTTTAACTATAGCAACGAGTCGTTAGACAAACTTTTATGATTTAAACGCAAGGACGTATACGAAGTCACTGTAAGAAAATTACTTAAAGAGTAATAACTTAATAATAGTCGTGTTGAAACAAAATAACTCAGATAACAATTGTAATGTAAGTCAAACTATAAATTTAACTTACCTTGTCATTCCTACGGACAAAGGGCTGTACACACGAACTACCCAGGCTTGTGCCAAGCAGTATCGAACCTTATACCCTTAAGCCACATGTGTTGCAATCACCTATCACCTGGCTGGGGCAAACACTCAAATTTATGCGACACTAACACTCTCTATTGTTTTTACTTGGAATTAATTGTAAGAAAATCTGCAATTGTAACAATACGGGAATAAATCTTCGATGACACGGGCGCGGCCGGTCGGGTCGACCGCTAACTGCGACGAAGGTTTGTTTAGTGTTGGGAATAGGGCAGAAATATCGCCTTAAAAACAATGTTTGACGTGAAACAACATAAATAAATAATAATATTTATTTTTATTAATTTGTGTTATATAGTTACATATTACTTTATTAGCTTGCAAAACGTAAAATCTTATTTACGTGGACAATATATTATATATTCAATACCATATAACACATTTTATATTAAATATTGTATATATTGCTTAATACCAAACTTTCGAACCCTGTAGTTGATTCATAAAAAATAATTAATATAAAATATGATTTAAATTTGAAATCAATTAATACAGCGGCCGAAGAGTCTATAGTTTATTTATAATGATTATTCTACTTCAAAATTTATTTCAAAATCCATCACATCGCAGGATATATAAATATAATATATAATAATAATAATTTAAGAGAATTTTATTATAAATAAATAAATATGTCGAGACAAAATAAAAATGATGGAAAATAATGCAACACAATAAATAAATGTATTTTTTACGGAACTTAGAATGGAAAATAAACTGACTTTCTATCTAATAGAAAGTGATAATGATCACTTATAGAGTTTATACTTATATATATATATATATATATATATATATATATATATATATATATATATATATATATATATATATATATATATATATATATATATATATATATATATATATATATATATATATATATATATATATATATATTGTGTAAAGTTGTGGCATAAAATCTTAAAGGTGAGTATTGACTGTTAATTATCCTTTGATAATTTAATAAATATTCTTCTAAACATAAAAGGCTTCTTCAAACACGACAAAATAAAAAAAAAAACAATCCGGCTATAAATCCTATCAATTGCAAAAAAAGAATGATTAAAATTGATTCCATTAGTTATACAAAAATATTTAAAAATAGAAGATCTACACATATTATAATTTAAGTGTATACGAAATTTTATAACAAATAGTTGATCTGTTAGGTTGTCATAAAATAACAAATAGACAAACTCATTTTCATTTATAGTATTAGTAAAGATTATACCTAAAATAAACGAAAAATGCATGACTTTAAAACTAAAATTTTAATAAAACAAATTATTAAATGTTTCGTAAGCACGCATTGGTACGCGTCACAGTCGCTCATGACTAAAGATCACGAATTGATTTCGAAACTAGTCAAGCTTTTTCGAACTAATGACACGTATGTTAAACCGGTAGTTATTACTTTAAAAAATATTATAAATTGTTTTGATTATGTTTAAAATTAAATCATCGATAATATCCCATCCCTAGAAATGTACTGCACATGCGTAAAGTAGCAAACGGCAGCGCTGAAAATAACGGTTCTCTTGACTGGGGTAAATAATACATGGCAGGGAGCCCATATAGTACCCACTGGCAGTATCTAGAGGGCGCTTTCGCATTTAACGCGAATGAAAAAGTTTGCCATAAACTGCCTGACTTTGTGAATATTTTTATAGTAATACACGGTGTCTATGAAAAATAGGCTAAAGTTTTATTCGTTAAAATTTACCTCATAAAACAGGGGTTGGCTTCTTCTATCAACTTACAAAGCAGAATTTATCTTGTAATTTACAAATAAATAATTAAATATGAATTGATAATGATTTAAGACATAGCTAAAACTGACATTGCTGAAATTTTATTATTCAACTATTTATTAATTAATTCTACAATATGAATATGAATAATTATAAACTACATAATATATTAAAAAACTGTATAATACTAATAACAATTACGATATGAATAGATACACACCAATACTTAAATAATTAATAATAATAATAATAAAAAAATACGTACTTATCGTGATACAATATCAATGACTGGATAATATTGTAACAGATCCTTAGACTATTTCTAACAGGAAAAATGTGTTGGCTCTCTCCTACTTGCTGTGTCCAACAGGGTCCATAATTGAAATGTTGTCTACTAATTATATTATGGAATGCAATAAGAAATAAATAAAAAAATATATATCATAAAATAAACTTTAAAATGGAAGAAACCCTCAATTCATTTAATTTTAAACATTTTACGCAATGTTTTCCTCTAATTTATTTCCGTCTTATTAATCAAAGACATTTAACAGAAGAAGACTGTACGAAAGTCGTTTACTTGGGTATCTCTGTCACATTCGTGTTTCTACCGTGCAGTTGTTATGTTTGCATGGCTGTGTTTCAATTTAAAGGGTGGGATATAACAGTGAAATTATAGGATACAGTATAACACCTTAGTATTCAGGAATGACAACGCATTGAGGGTATCATAAGCATGAGGGTAAAGCAGTTGTGTTTGCATGGTTGTATTTCGGTCTGAAGAGTAGGATATGGCAGTGAATTTACAGGGTACAGAGGAATAACACCTGAATTCTCAGGAATAGCAACGCATGGGGGGTACCATAGGCGAAACAATATACTTTGTTATGTCCGTACAGTACGCTCATGTACGTACGGGACGGTTACCACTTTCCATCAAGTGGGCCATCAACTTGTTTGTCATTCTAATTTGCATAAAAAATCATAAGTCCCATACAAATTTGTCATAGTGTAATATCTGTGATTAAGCCTTAAACACACAAAAAAATAAATAAATAATACAGTATTGAACAACTATTTAATATATGTTTCTATTTAAAATATCTACTTCAGTAGGTAAAATAAAATAATTTTGCCACTTTATTGTATAAAATGTATAAACTCAATACTTAAATATCTAAAAAAAATACAAAAAAAAATCTAGTTATATAGATTGTTTGCAAGCTTTTTTGTTTTAAGACACTTTCATTACAAAAATATTTAAAATTATATTCGAACTTATAGATGGAGTGACGATTTAAAATGCATTGCAGGGAGGCAATGGATGCAGGTGGCTCAGGACTGTACCTTATGGCAGTCTATGAGGGAGGCCTATGTACAGCAGTGGACAGATAACGCCTGATATAACGATGATGATGATGATGTTTGAACTCTACCAGAATTCGAGTGAGTCAGTCTTTAAAGAAAATTTTCAGTTTACATTTTCCTTATGGACTGACCGACTCGAAAACTGACTAAAGATATCTAACATCCCATACAATGTGTCTAAACTTTGAGTCAGTATTATGAGATTTAAATTTTATTTATTCTTTGTTGCAAGCAGAGAAAAATGGTACATATTAGGAAATAACATAGATAGATAGATAGATAATTTATTTATATTACTTACAGCACACAAATTACAATAAAAAAAAAACATACACATAATACACAGCAAAAGAGATAAAAGAATGAAAATACAAAAGCACAAATAAAACAAAAAAACAAAATATATAAACAAACAATCTCCCTTCTTTCCCTTCCTTCATGCGTGTGCCATAGTAACACAAAATGGTCACAGCTCAGTTTATTGTTTTGCCCTTAAAAGAGCAAAACATACAAGGGCTTATTCTAGCAAACCTTCAAATTGCATAGAGATAATCAGGAAAATAAGCATACATTTTTCTTAATTATGACTCTTTTTTCGTCCAATATATCTTTAGTAACATTTTTCAGTTCTACTATTAGAATATTCTCTTAAATGGAACAATAGTAATAGTGATTTCAGCCAGTATTCATTTAAATATTAAAGTTTTGATGTCAGAAGGAGAGTACAGTATAGATGGCGTTCCAAATCTGTGAAATATATAGCAACTAATGGCTCTTACTTAATGGAACATCATTAAATTTAAAGGACCACCGTCAAACTGAAACTCAGACTATATCTACTACGATATCCGTGTATATACGATATACGTTATATACGTAACAAGGCTGAATGGAGTTGAGAAAATGTATTGAGAAACAGCTGGGTGTTCAGTTACTAAAGTAAAAAAAAAAAAGTGTTTTCACCTTTACACTTGTATTTCTAGATTTGGATAATTATTTTTGGAATCATTAGTATTAACTTATATAAAGGTCCCATATTAATCTCGACTCAGATGAAATTAGTATTGTTTATAAATTTTAAATTTTTAAATCAATAAATAATAATAATTTGTCGAAGGAGACTACAGCATGGGGTTCTTCGAAAAAGGGGTTAAGAGGCTTTTTCAGGGTCGACAACGCACGCGTAATGCCTCTGGCATTACAGGCGTTCATAGACTACGGTAACCACTTGCCATCAGGTGGGCCATATGCTTGTATGCCTCAGTGATATTAAAAAAAATAACCTACACTGAAAGTAAAAAAAAAATAATTAAAAACAATACAGAATAAAGATCTAACAAAAACAACACATGATTCCTGTGAGCTAAAATCAATAGAGATTATTCCATATTTTGGCAGCTTATCAAATAATACAAGTTTCAACAGATACATTACAAAATGGTTCTTAAAGTCAATGGTAATAAAGCATAAATCTCCTTTGAAAGATTATATCTAGAACTACTGTAAGCTTATCTGGAAGGAAATATGTATTTTAGTTAAGAGGTTAATTTAGTAGATCAACGCGATGGTTGGATGACAGCATCAAGTATTAGCAACAAGATGACATTTTGCGATAATTTAATTTAACCTAACTGAAGTTTGCGCTCCAAATTACGGTTGAATTGACTTAATCAGTTAGAATGATTCAGTTTTATTTGAAAAGATTGAGTCTTAACTCAATTCTCGGATGGAATGATTGAGGACTTTTCTAAGTTGTCCAGGTGTTCCTTTCCTGGTTTCTTTCCACTAAAATTTTTTATTTATTTATTTTAGGTTAATGTATAATGTGATATAATCTTATATATTTATTTAATAACACATGTAAAAAGGAATAATTTTAATAAGATTTAACTAAAATAACAGAATCCATACGCAATTCTGCGGTGATGGTTTTTGTATGTATAGTACATACAGTTTAACATTAGTATTACACAGAAATGAAATATAGAATATATATATATACATATATAAATAACAATGTTACCAATACAATAAAATTGTAACTAATTTATGTCTGTAACTAGGA